CACAAAAGGTATGGGTACAGACCCAAAACAGAGGAAAAGGTTAAGACCTCAGTTTCAGTTTCAGGCTTTTTGTTTGTTTGTTTTGGTTTGCTTTTTGTTTTTAAACGCATGTCGTTATCTGGAGATTTGGTACAGGTTGTTTTGGTGCAGTCATGGCTAATTCTTTCCTTGTGGCCAAAAGAGAGTCTTGGACTTCAGGAAACTTTCTGGCCCATAAAATGAAAAGTATTGGGGTTTTTTTGGCAAGGGGGAGGGGACGCAAGGTTCATTTGTGGTGGGAGGAATACTTTCCTTTTACTTTCCTTTGCTTTCTGTTCTGGTCCCAGGCCATGAAGTGGCAGAAAGCCGCCATGCATTTGCCTGGGTCTACTCTGTCTGCTCTGGGTGTGCATCCAAGACTTCTGCTTCACACTGCATGCTACACCTGACCTTTCTCTGCTAGTAAATGACTGCTGACCCCATCACATGGCCCCTTTCTGCTCTGCCTGGCACTGAGGGAAGAGTTGCTGAATGATTTTAGAGGGGGCCGTAGAGGATAAAAAATGAGAAAATGGCAGATTAGATCTGTGGTGACAGAGATGAGAAATAAAAGCCATTAGAGCCTATTTGCAATGTGCCCTCATTGAGTCAAGTTTCAAGGTGTTTCTCCAGATTATTAATAGCCTGACAGCAGTTTTTGTACAGGAATCTGATACATGGAATAACACTCATGTATACACACTGCAGTGTAGAGGGGAAAGTAGAGTCCTCTCATTTATTTACTTAGATTTGAAATACAGCAAACCAGCCAGCTGGGTTACAGACAGAATAAACATTCTCCATTATAATAGCGGCACCTTCAGACACACATCTCTATAATAACAGAATGGTATGAAAGAAGCTATCGTGAAACCTTACAACCAAACTTTGCTGTCTGTACAGTCCAGACTGCTTTCAGAGTGGCTCTCCTGAGGTCGTAGTATTCTTTGGTGTGGAGCGGATTGCTCTAAGTCATTTCAGTTGCTGGTTAACAAAGCTTGGATTCTGTGGGCCGTTTTGGTAACTTAATCTCCCAGCCATCTGATTTTCTCAATGTGGTGGCAAGTTTCTTTTAGAACTTCTGGTTAAGACCTAAGCAGGTCTTTCTTGTCTCTTCCCTCGCTCATTGAATTATCTCAGTCTTCTCAGGGTCATATCCCAGTGAAACAAAAGTTTCAGAGGGAGAGAAAAACAAGGACATTTGGGCACGTGGGAAGGAAAGAAAGAAAGGTTAAAAAATTCCCAGAGTTAGACTTTGTAGTTGCATACTCATAGAAAAAGAAATACCAGGTGGGTAGTACTTTGAACTTCACAGGGCTTTGTGGGACTGAGTCGTCAAATATGAGTAATTGTAGCTTTCTTCGTAAACAATTGAGTGGCACAGAAAATTGAACTGATACAGCCTGTCATGCCTACAGGCCAAACAAACATTGAGCGGGAAGAGAGAAGCTCTTCAAACATCGTTAGGTGATGGTGTCGCTTGTCTATGTCTGTTGCTTTCTATTCAGCTTTCTGGTTTTACTTCATCTCAGGCTGCAACCTAACTTAACTTGTGTGTGTTATTGGGTAGAAGTACCAAGGCTTGATCTATATTGCATAGTATGTTGTAGAGATACCCGAGCTAATTTCCAGTGAACCTAGACAAAGAACTGTAGAGACTAATTTTACCCATTTTTTTCTCCTTTCCTGAACAGTCTCTAGCATGCAGCCTTGTTTGGGATGTGCTATAATGCAAACAAGCCACCATTGCTACAGATACAGCATTTTCTAATGGTGGTTGCACAGCCTTAACCCAAACAAAAGGAGCTGTTATCAGAGGTGCTCAAAATCACAAGATTTTGCTTTTTCTTTAGGGCAAAAGAAGGTTCTTTTGATAGATGGGAAGGAATCTGCAGATCTGAGACTGAGGTAGCAAGATGGGGAGCTAAATTTGCAGTGAGAAGAACTCTACATCTTGTAATATATACATTATTTACTGGACTGCCCGCAAGAAGGTGAGACAGGAGCCACCTGTCTGGGTCAGTCTGAAGGATGACACAATTAGAAATCCCTACTGGGACACTGAGATGAGATGAGAACAAAGATGGCTAAATCTTTTTCCTGCCAACATCTTCCTTTGTTTTAGTGGTCTCACAGTCTGTAGTTTAGCAAGAGCTGTAGCTTGTGTGCTAGCAGTCTTGGTCAGTTCTGGGTGCTCTTATGATACTACTTCTTAGCAGAAGACAGATGAACCTAAAACACTCGGTTGCTTTCTAATGAAGCAATATCCCTGCCATCAGATCTTTTCCAGGAGACGGATGAGACGGCCTTAAAACCCCCTCCTATATCAGGGTCAATTATCTCCCAGTAGATCTACATCACTTAACGATGCAATTGAGCATGCACAATTCCTGTTTAGTTTGGTACAACCTGTGGATTCACAAGTATTTCCAAAAGTTAAACCACGCATCATTGTGGAAGAAAGCAATGCTTTGACAAAGAGGCAAAGCTGAGGACGGCAGCCCCCCACCAGCTCATGCTTTTACACCCATAAAAGTGCTGCACAACTCCTAGGAAGTGCTGAGAGGCATTTGTAAATCCTTATTCAGCACTTCTTGGACTTGACGTGCAGGCCGCAAGTTGCTTTGGGAGCCAACATGTACTGTAGCATCTTACCTTCTTGATCTAAATAGTAGTGTGAAGTAATTCAGATTTCCTGCAACTGCACTTTTAGTTCCCAGTAGCACTAACTCAGCACTTCATGCTTTCCAGCAAGGTGAGTTAGGGATCAAGCACTTTGCTCTGTAGGTTTCCGTTTGAATAAGCCCTTAAGACCTGAAATTTTGTCCCTGCAGAGAACTGATGGCACTTTGAATCAGTCTAAGACGTTTTCTGTTAGGGGCTTATCCAATATTCTCATTGCCTCTACATTTTGTACAGTGCAATATGCCACTGGCCTCCCCCTGCTTACCCCCATGCTGCTGCTGCTGCTGCTGCTGCCACCTTTAAACTCAGCTGAGTTCTAACAGGACACCCGGTATTACTGCATCTGAACAGCTCATAAGGGTGACCACAAACTGCTACCTACAACGTAAAGAATTTTTATCTCTCGTGATTTAATCAAAGGATCTCTCTCAGCTTTTACAGTAATTGGTTGCTTTATATTTAAAAAGAAAAAAAACATTTTCTCCCCAGGAAAAATTACTTTTCTTTCAAAAAGTAAAAAAGAGATTACTTTTTCAAATGTTTAATTTTTCATGCAATTTTTCATTAATGTTTCTCATTGACAATATTCTCCAAGTTTTAATTTTTTAATTAGCTTAAGACTGAAATGGTAAATAGTAATCCAACCCTGCAAGATGAAGCAATGTAAAAATTGTGAATATTTTCGCTATACTTACAAAAAAAAAAAAAAAAACTCCAGTGTTGACATCTGCAGCTTGTAAAGTACTTTGCTATCCTTCGGAATGAAAGGTGGCCATATAACAATAAAATGTTATTATTCTTCCTTTAGTGTTTTGTACACGCATAGTTTACTGACTGCTAAAAAAAACCCCGGTGGAATGCCTCTTTGATGTCATCTGTCTTCCCTAAGTAGTGGTTACTACTTGCTGCTTTCCTACCCAACTGGTTGTGATGCTGCCCTTGGCAATTTCAGTGGCTAAAAGCCTTCCTCCAGTAAAATCTTAACTAGTTGGACTGAATCTTGAAACAGGTCCACATCTCCCTCAATAAATATCAAAAGGGAAATCCAGCTGAATATAAACAGAGAATAGCAAAATGGTGCTATTTATATGGTTTATTTTCCCTTCAGGTAAACCACTAATGGCACATATAACTCTTATAATTAAAAGCCACATCTGATGGAACAGTCATCTGTGAAAGCAAAGAAAAGGGGAAGATGAAAGCGCCACCAGTACAAACCAACAGGCCAGCTATAGGTCTATACATGCCTCTTTTTCCTATTCTGAGAATAAGTCAGAGCTTGAAACCTCTTTTGACAAGTAGCTCCTCTGATGACAGATGCTCCCTGCAGCCTCCACAGGCTGCAAACAAATGCATTGTTCTTGCTGTCAACTCCCCATTGAAAGGTGATTCCAGCAAGCAGCAATTGGCCTCATTTGTTAGCATTAGTCAGCAAGTAGATGGATCAGATTTGTTACCAAGGAAAAGGAAAAGCAGGTCTGAGACTGAAAAAACAGAGCTCATAATCAAGAGCTTGTCAGTGTGTAAGTTTTGCTCTTTGGAATGTGAGTGAGGGACACGTTGCTACTCTTAACTTCAACTTCTTGGCACTTCAGAACAGAACTCATTTTTGTGGAATGGTCTGGCTAAAGTGGTCATATCCCTCTGCAGTATAATCAGCTAGACAGCCTACAGACTTCATCAGTTGTAGCAAGACTTGGGGACTAGCAAAAGTGTCATGTGACAAGGGAATGAACTATTACAAAAAAATTGACCCTTGAGCCAAAGTAGGACTATTGATCAGAATAGGGTGATGGGCGAGGAGGGAGGGGCTCTGGATTAGAATATTATCTAGGAAAAAAAAGGCAGAAAATCAGATGACACAAGTCAGACAATGATGTTCCTGTTGCAGAAGGATCTCAAATGGCAGTTGGAATTCAGTGCTAGCAAAGTCACACAGGGAAAAAAGTCCCCATAATGTTTGCTCCAGAATCCTGCACGCGTTTCTGGTCAGTCCTCTGAAACTGATGCCATGCTCTATTAGAAGCACAGTTAAGTAGCTTTGATTATTGTGATGGTGTGTCTTCAGCTGCAGCTGAAACAAGAAAATGGAGAGCCTGCCTACTGCTTCTTAAACAGCAGTCGGCAGTAGGGAACAAATGCCTACTATCATTTTCCACTCAAGATACCCTGCCACCTTCTGTGCATCTGACTGAGGGCAATCTGATACAGCAGCGCTTGGCTCATGTGCTTGATTCAAACTTTGTCGTGGAAAAATTTAAATAAGTAGGTAATTTATGACTCTTTTCTCTCCTTAGCCCTCCTCAGCAGCCAGAGACCCTAAAGAAATGATAGATTCTCCCTGTCCTGGGCCCCAGGTAAGCAGAAACCACACCAGTGTGGTGCTAACTATAGCTTCAAGCTTGTCTGTCGTGTACTTGCCTGTGCTTTACAGAGCATTGGAACTGCTCACAGTGCAAAAGCATAGAGCAGAGATGAGCCACAGGGATGAGGCAGATGATTTAACACTGAGCATGCAGGCTGGAGCTGCAATTGCACCTGATTTTTTTTATTTTTTTTATTTTTTAAGTACATCTCAGCACTTTCTCCTCAGCCCTTCCCCTCTTCTCTCCCCCAGCACAGCTAGAAGTAGTCCATTAGTGTGAATGATGCGTGTCACTGCATGCTGATCTAGGGCAGAGCTCAGGCTGCTTTTCAGAGCAAGTGCCTAGAAGCATATTATGCACAGGCCAAGATTCTCAGTGGTGATGTAAAAAAAGATTTTGACTTTAAAGGTACATCGTAAAGGCACCTGGTTTTCTAAAAATTTAAAGGTACTTGGTTCTTACTGTCTGCAAACGAGAAGCTCTCAAACTAGGTACCTAAGAATAGAAGCATCCCATAGCATTAGTCACTTCTGGAAATACCGTTAACACAGCCTAATTTCCTTCTAGTCTTGCAATTTGTGCTCACTGCTCACTATGTGAAGTGCCCAAGTATAAGTGACTACTGATGGGAGAACCAGGCCCCTAGGATTCTTGCAGGTTGTGTTCACGTTATTCTTTCCCTGTCTGTGCATTTCAGTTGCAACCTGCATCATGTCACCCCTTGGAGATGGTGCTTCCTCCAGTTCAGCTGTGTCAGGACACCACAGCCTTGACCAGGACTACTCAGCTCTCCCATGTTAGCCTGGACTCAGTTCCATCCTCGGTGAGTAGCTGCATTCCTGACCATCCTGTGCCTCCGTGTGTCCCTGCCCCTGGTCAGTCCTGTTTAAGTTCTTAAATCCCTGACCAATTCTCTGTTGCCATGTCTCTAGTCCTGACCAGTTCCCTTAAGCCAATTCTGTTCTGAAGCTTATAGATGGCTCAGCAGTTGTCAATGCTGTTAGATACTTGAGCTGCTTTGATTGTTTGACTCTTCTTTGAGCTTCATAATCGTCATTCTTATTATGGAATTCTTTGCAGAAGGGTTGTTAACCGTGTAGATTCTTAAGCTGCCTTAAGTTGAGGAGCGGGGTCCATCCATGACAAGGCTGGAAACATTAAGACAACTTTTTGCCTGAGATTTAGTCATTAAACTCTTCTCTCCAAAGCTTGTCATGGGTGCTGGTTGTTAGGAGGAAAAGGAAATGTATTTATCTGGGGTAAAAGCTTTAGAAATACTGACCTGAGCAAAGTTACAGCGACTTTGCATCTTCCTTCATTTGCCCCTTCTCTCTTTTTATTAATTAACAATCAACAAGTTAAGCCTGAGCAATTGCATCCGATCCATAGCTAGAGAAACATCTGTGACTGTACTCTGTCATTTGCAAAATGGAACGGCTCTAATCTCTTGAGCACGCTGCTCTGCAGTGACATTTCCACTGCACTCCAAAAGCATGCAGTAGCCTTGGATTAGAGTTTAAAATAGAAGGCTATTGGCTTTGTGTGCAGCACGGAATGGCTAAGGAGTAATAGCAATGGGAGTGTGCAGTTGGATTGCATGACCTACAGTAGTTGTATGGTTCAGAGGCTTTCATGTGGTGGGACTTGATCTGCTTTTTGCATTACAGGGATACTCCGAGCAATTTATTTGGCTTAGTCAGGTAAAGCCTTTTTTACCTGTTCCTCCCAAGAAACTCTGTTGACCTTAGTACAGCCAGTCCTTATTAACGCACGTCTAAATTAGAGCAGAACTAAGGATAATGCTTTAGAAAACTAGATGAACTGACTGAGGTACTTCTAATGTAACATAAAATCAGGAGAATCCTGCATGGTTACAGAATCACAGTGTCACAGAATAGTTGGGGTTGGAAGGGACCTCTGGAGATCATCTGGTCCAAACCTTCCTCTGCAGCAGAGTCAGCTAGAGCAGATTGCCCTGGACAAGGTCCAATCGGATTTTGAATATCTACAAAGACAGGGACTCCACATCCTCTCTGGGCAACCTGTTCCAGTGTTCAGCCACCCTCACGGTAAAGAGTGGTTCTCACTGCACAGCCTATGGGTGAAGTTGTAGGAAACATGCTGGTTTTTTCCCTTGTTCCAACCAGCTGAAAATGCCTGTACCATGCAGTGAAGGGCAACTGAGAGATGCCAGTCTGTTTTTGGAGGAAGTGTGCCGTGTTATTGCCGTGTCATGTCTTGGCTGCTGAGCCTCGTCTCTAAGCTGATGTGCCAGTGCACCTCCTGGTTGTTTCGCAGGCTCGCTGATAGCAACTCAGGTCCTTTCTACCCTTCTCGGTAATGCAAAATAAATATCTCATAAGTTATTCTTGGTCTTTCATGCTGCTGAAGGTTCTTTTCATAAACGTAAGCACGTTAGCTCCAGTTTCCTAACAAACAACAGCTGAAATAGGTCTTCCGTTTGTTTGTTTTAGGTATGGTATTTTTAAATAGTCACAGCAAACTGGTGTTGTTTATCTGTATGTTGATAAATAGGAGCTGCTGACTTTCACCTTGGAAGAGGCAGAATTTGAGCAGCTAGTAAGCTGCTTGGCTAGATCAGGCACAGAACTCCTATGGGTAGATAAGGGGCGTATTTGCAAAAGGCAGTTTGGTTCCTATAGCCTGCTGATTTTCACTTTGAGCAGGGTGCATAAGCATCAATCCATGCCTCTGGAAACCTCCTTTGGAATCATTGTTCATATACCTATGATTTTGAAGTAGGGATTCTGGAGATCTTCGTCTGACGCAGGAAATCAGGATATGTTAGAGAGTTGGGTGCACAGCAGGCTTTTTCTTACTTTCTCCATCCCCTCTCTGCCTTTCCTCCTTCCCTTCTCCCCTCCTCCCTTATTTCAGCAGCCCGGCGCAGCTCACTGCAGCCTGCTGATGCCCAGCACAGCTAAAGCCTGGCCTTATGTATTTTCCCATTCAATTCTGCAGTGGCAGTTTTCTGCTGGTTTGTACAGAGCATCCAACTGATTTATTGCTCCCAACGTCTCTTAGTTTGTAATAAAGTTTTCAGCAGCTCTGCTGAGCCTGCTCCCCGCCCCCGTGCACGCACACATCCCTGCGCTTGCTTTGTTCTTCTCACACATAATGTCAACTCATAAACCTTTCATCAAGTCAACCAGGTGGAAAAAACCCATTACTGAAAGAAGTGTTCATTCAGGTTTGGGGGGAAATGGAGGGGAAGGCGGAGGAGAAAGTTCCCCAATGGAAAAAAAAAAGGGGGGGGAAGAAAAAAGCAAAAAAGCTGTGTGTGCTCTTAGCTGAAAAGCCGGCTTTGCTGCGCACCCCAGGTGCCAGGCCTCACATAAGCCTGACAGATCTGTCATCCTGGTGACAGGATATGGAAAGCACTGTGTACATATTCAAAGAGGCAGTGATTTGGGCCTAATACCCACTGATGAAAGGGAGACTTCAACACAGCCGGCCTCTGCCAGCTTGAATAAAACCACTTGTGCTTTTGTACGGAAGAGAGGACCCCCCCCCGGCAACACACACACCACACACACACACACTCACACACACACACACACACACGCTTGCTCGCTCGTTCACTCATGTACGAGGCTCCCCTCCTGCTTCCCCCTGTCCCCGAATTGATGTGTTCGAGCCATGTTGGCTGACGCTAATGTGCTGAAAGACGCTGCTGGCCGCACAATAGAGGGGGTGACGCGGGTGTGTCGGCAGGAGACGTGCAGTGTGGAGAAGGCGCTGAAAAATGGAAGTGGGGAGTAATGTGTGAAGTGAGAGATCAGGGAGCAGCCTGGGATCTCTTCATATTATGGCAATGTGCAACTGAGAAGGCACTTGGGGACAGGGTGCTCAGAGCCTGGATGGTGCAGGTTGCTGTGCCAACAGTGCCCAGGCAAAGAGCCGGTTCTCCTCTTTAGCTGAAAGGCTCACTGCTGTCACAGAGACTCCAGGACTCTGCTGGATGGGCGCCCTAGGACAGGAACAAGGAGTGTCTCGTGGGCAAAGGCACGACACCAGGTCTTAGGAGATCTGGGCAGAGTAACCCTGGGCAAAACATCTTTGTTTTTGTACATCAGCCTCCACCTAGTCAGAACAGATGATAATGTTTCTGTCTCCTCCTTTTTGTCTCAGCTACGCAGAACGTAAACTCTTCGAGGAAGGCACAGTTGCTGGTGTAATTCATTGTTCCCTATGCTCAGTGACGTTTTATTAATTTTGAACTGAATTTCAACCAAAAGGGATGTAGGTGGAGTCCACTGAAAAATGAAATCCCCCTTACACCCAGCATTTTTGTGGTTTGGGCGCACACTTTTGGGTTTGGTGTTTTTTTTTTTTTTATACACAGACTTTCAGAAAGTTCTACACAAAATTTTATTTAAATAAGGTTTTCAGCAGTGTGGTTCAGTTACTGCTCTAGAGAAGGGACAGTTACTGGGCGCTAGAGGATGGAGAAAGGGTGGAAAGCAACAAAGGAACACAGGCAATGACATCTGTCACTAGTATTTTCTAAGTTAAAAATTCAGCATAATCTACTGCCACCCTGTCCGCTATACTGAGTTCCAACAGTAACAGAATTGTCATGATTTCTACATGAATTAATTCAAATTTCTTTTGCATGATATGGCGTAAGAAAGGGGCCATCTGGTTTATGTTCTAGGTGTCAGAACCACTCATACCAGCACACTCTCGTAGTGCAAGATGTAAATTGACTGCACATATTAATGTCTGCTTACCCTCTGCCTCCCAGAGACCTGATGCTGTTGTCCCATTATGGTGCTGCCATTTATACTGTCAATAGCAATAATAGTAATAATGCGATGCTTGGCATGCACATAGTACCTCCCATTACAATTACGGGTGAGTGTTACTCATCATTACAAACAATTATACTGGTTCCTTCGTATGAAGGAGGCCTAGAGACATTAAATAGGATCATGCCATGATTAAGTTAGGAGTGGCCAAGTGCCAATAAAAGGTTGTCCAGTTTCCCCAAAATTACTATCTAACTAGATAAGGCAGACATCCTAGATCATATGCAGAAGTGAAGTGGCTTCCTCTAGACTACAGAAATAGTCATTGGCAGCAGACTTCAGAAAAAGAACCAAAGCATTTGGAAACCTGCTTATTCTACTGGAGAATGCCAATCAGATATCTTTTTATAATAGTAAATATTTTTATAATAGTAAATATAATAGGCGGGTGTCAGACTTAAGAGCCGGCTTAACTTAGGTAATAGTAAAAATATAATTTGGATGGTTGTAAGGTGACAATGCTGTACAGATTTGTATTGTCTGATTTTCAGAGATTTAAGCAAACCTGAAAGTATTAATCCTCACAGCACTCTGTAGCAGTGCATTACTGGCAATTCCTGAAAATGGGCCTGACTTCTGGCCTGTAAGCAAACACATCAGAAAACAATTAATTATTATAGCAAATTTTTTGTTTGGTCGTTTGTTTGCTTTATAGCTTGGTGGCAAACTGGTTCACTATGATTTTCCAGCAGTTAGTTGAATATGCAAAATCTGAGCAGGATTGTTGTGCTGAGACTCATCGCTAATCCACAGACCCACTTTCTGTTGCCTTGACTAGATGAAAGCAGCTCAGAATAGTAGGTAAGAAGTCCTGAAGAGGAAAAGCCTCATCTACTACAGATTAGCCTCTGTTTATATTGCAGAGGCTCTGGCCCAAGTGAGGGTTTTTTCCTTAGAAATACTGTTTTAGCATGAATTTATCTTGAAATGAACTTTGAGATAAATAGAATTTAAGCGTGAGCTTAAATTTAAGGTCTTATTTAAGTGCTTT